TTTTCCATAAAAAAAGATTCTGGATGAAAAAAATTTCATTATAGAAAATTACTATATTTTATTAAAAACACATGACACTTTTTATACCAAACTATTATGAAATTAATCGGTGTAGGATATTCTAAGTAAAAATGTTTTATACTCCCAAAAATCCTTCTCAAACCCTATATACATACTAACCCTAATGGAAAAATTTTGATATGCGAAATTATATACGAAACTTATAAAAACTTAGAAAACTAATAAAAAACATATAATAGGTGAAAAACACCATAGACTCGCTTTATAATTACTATTTAAGAATGTCAAATTCAAATCATTTGAAATTATTATTTCTATGTGTTGTATATACATTGTAAACTGCGTTAAATATTGCCTTTATAATTTAAATCAAGAAATAATTTATCGTTAGAAAAAATAATCGAAGACTAATTTCCGGACTATCATCCGAACGACTCTCCGATCCCAACCTAGTACACATTTTCTGGGTGCAAAATAAATACTGTTATTTCGGACAAACTGGAGTCAAAAAGGGCGAAAAGAAGGCATTCGAATATTTTAAAAAATTGGCGGAGATGGGTTTGTCGAGAGGAATGCCACAAGTCAGTTATTGTTTTGAAATAGTGTTGGAACACTAATAAACGTGGAAAAAGCTAATTGTTGGCATCGAATGGAAGAGGGCTAATAGAAAAATCGGAAGAGGTGGTTTTGTGACGAAAGGTGGACAAAACATATAAACATTTTGACTTGCTTGGTAGGTGCTTGTCTTGTTGCACTCGAAAAATTTATAGAAACTATTGTTTAAACATTGATTTGTCATTTTATGGTATAGTGGCACCCTTGAATGTTTGGCAGGTTTATGGCACAGATTTACCGAATTAAATCAGATTTCAAGATCAAGTGCAACGTAACACTTTCAAAAAAATTCAAAACAAACGTTCGTTTTGTCAAAAATCGCTTATTTCTCGAAATTCTACATAAGAAACCACTTTGGTGCTCTAATAAACCACCTTGTTCTAACCCGTAACCCTAACATAAATGAATATCAAAAAAAATTGCTGCGCCACAACCTAGCACACATACAAGTAATGCCTTCTGTATACAGGCAACTTCTGCGCACGATTTGATCCACCCCTGAATTCATATGAATCCATATTTACTGTTTTTCTCATGATTTATTTCACAATTAAGTTTTAAAATTCTTATATTCAAATTTTGTAACAAATGATAGTAAAAGCATGATTTTCAGATATAAATATTAGTGGCCTGATTCTAATTTTTATATATGTTTGTTATATATAATTTTGGAATTCCTGTTAATCTCAAATTGGCATAAGTCACTTTGGAATCATGATTTGATGTAAAGGAGATGGGGTATTGTAGTAAGGTTAAAGTTTTTACTTAAAAAACTTTTTAATAAATATATAGATTTTTATATAATTATTATTATTTGAACTATGCTTAATAAAGAATAAAATACTGTAAAAAAATTGTTATACTATATATATTTTTAGATATAAATAATTAATATATACAAACAGAATATAAAAACTAAATTTTAGATTGAAGAAGAGTTATTATAACCAATTATTTAACAGTGAATAGCTTTTGATATACTGGTTTATTTTGGATGATTTTATTATCAAAAAGACTATCATTTTAATAAGCACAAAATTGTTAAAAGCTAATTATTGAATACTAAGATTATTAAAGATTTATATATAAAAATTTGCTGATTTCTTTATATAATTTTTTTAATTATATCAAGAAATTTTTAAATAGAGTACATATTAATTACTATTTGCAGAATAATTAGCATCAATTTATTTTTATTATAATTGATTGTAATTATTCAAATTTAAATAAATTCAATTGATTGTAAGTGATATAAATCAATAGCAATTCATTGCAACTGATTGTAATAATTTTAGATTTGAATAATTAATAATTATAATTGATATAAATTAATACTAATTACTCTGTAGATGATAATTGGTATGCACTTTATTTAAAAATTTTCTGATATAAAATAAATTGATATTGATTTTAGGATTCTATGATTAGATTTTAATGATTTTATACTTGTTAGAATTGACTCATTAAGATGATCATTTTGGTAATAAAATTATCTAAACCATACTAGTGAATCCAAAATTATTAACTATTAAAAATTCTATATATTTAATAATAAATTCAAATATATATAAAAATTTATATATTGTATAAATTATAATATCTTATAATTTAGTGATAAGAATTAGATAAATTGTATACTATTCAATTTGTCTCAATAAAATAAATTAAATAGTATAAAATTTGTTTAATTCTGATACTAAATTACCATATATTACTGAATAGAAGCTATCCCAAATAAAAGCTACTCTTGATTTTGGATTAAAAATTTGGAGGAAGTTATTATGTTTTATTAATAAAATTGGACCTGAATATAGTGTTCCACACAGTCTGGTTTAGTTCAGTTTTATATAAACCTGGACCTGACCCATTATATTGGTTTAAGTCTCTATTTAAACCTGGAACCATGATAACAGAACCTGAAACCGAACTGAAACCCGATTAATTATTTGGATCAAGTTATTTTTCTACATATTTTATAACAATGCTATTTAGAATTTTATATTATACATAGTAAAGTATTTATCAATTTAAATAGATATATTGATTTGATTAATTAATATTTTCATTATTTATAAATTAAATTAAGAATTATGCAATATTAATTGCTAAATAATTGATCATTTTAAAAAAATATGTAATGCATAGAAAATAAGCAGCAAAATACTTCAATTTTTATTTATTATCATCCTTTATCATTCTATATAATTCTATATAAAACTTATGTAGCATTATTTGCTTTAGCTAATTTTAATAATATATAAGTGCTTATGCATATTAATTCAAATTGAATTATTCATATAAAAATTTTTGACGATTATTTTCAACTTTTAATTCTTATTTATAATAATAATCCAAACATTAATATTTATAATTCAACTTCAACAAATTTATATGAAACTACTTAATCTGAATATTCTCTCCACTATGATCATAAACACATTGCTGATCTTACTTTTTTCTCATTTAGTCGATTTCTTTTATCAGTTAACATATTTCTACTAATACTAAATACCCTTTCACTCAGAACACTAGTTGCAGGGATTGGAAGACAGTCTTATTCGAACCTTACAAGATCTGGATAATTTGCTTGATTCATTGCCACCATTCTAATACATTAATATTAGAATCTATATATGGCAATGTAGTATATAAATCTAATTCATTTTGTTGGTCTGTGTGTATTTTCTTATAAATTCGTGCTATTATTGTTGATTGTAAAACAATTTCATGTATTACACTTTGATTAGAAGACATATATTCATTTTCATCTTTGTCTTTAATAATATTTTTAATATCAATAACAAGCTGTAGTGGTAAATTAAGCTTTTTAAAAAATTTAAACTAGAGACGTGGATCTAATACTACTAATGTAAGATGCAATATGTTTGTTTTATTACAATAATCTAGGTTTTTTTTTTGCAGCATCATACTCTTGAATAAGCCAATGTGATGTATCTTTTTTTTTCTTAACTTCTTCAAGTGTTTCAAATAATATATAGTATAAGAGAACAGTCATAGTTAGAGTTGGGTATTCTGATGCTAATATAATCATTATAGCATCTTTAAATGATCATAGTACTTCAACAATAGACTCTATCTTTATCTATTCTTCATTTGTAAGAATATATTGGCGCTGGTTTAGGCTGCAGATAAATTAGTCTGAGTTTCTTTTCTTGCTATTTTAGGATATGAAGTTTAAATATATTCTTTTCTTTGTATAAGAGTTATATTCTCTTTTTTTTGTAAGAAAGCTGTATATTCTTTGCTTTGTAAGAGAGTTAAATTAAATTTTAATAAAGACAAAGACATGGTCTCACCATTAATATTCAAAAAAAATGAATATATTGGTGCAATTCGGTTTCAGTAAGAGCCATTGAGTCTAATACAATTTTTAGTGGTATTGCTCACTCACACATATTACATGTAGAATTCTAGTGGGTAACCACATCAAGAATTGGTTTTATTTTATTTATACCATGTATTAAACAAGTTGTTTTAAGCTTTTTACAACATAATCATGACTCTCGAATGCGTTTAATCAATTCTTGTAGTTTATTTAACTCACTTCCTACAAAGTTTAACATGCTCTAAACTGCGAGATTTAGAATATGAGCGAAGCATCTTATATATTGCTGATTATGATCAAATTGAAAACCTAAATATGACATAGTATTAGAGAAGTTACATATAAATTTAATATTGGAAGAAGCATTGTTATGTGTAACTGCTATTAGTTTTGATAAGAGTCCTATTAATTAAAGACAATCTTTTATGTTATTAGCAATTTCAGAACCAGTATGTAGTCCATCCATGCTTATAAAATCTAGCAGAATAGTTTTTAAATTCTAAGACGAATCTAAATAATAAAGAGTAATTGCTATAAATGATTTGTCATCTGTTGTCTAAATAATTGGATGTTATAGAGAATTTTTCAGGAACTTCTTGTAATCTTTCATAAAGTTTATTATGTTTTTCTTCAAAGTTACTCATAATATGTCTTTTTATCAGATCTGCAGATGGCCCAATTGCCTTAGGTTCTTAATAAGAAATATTTCTTTAAGTTCATTGTCTTCTATAATATTAAATGATCTATTACATTTAACAATCTATTATATGATCATATTTTTAAAATATACTAAATCAAAAGGTTTATAAAAGTGATTATTAACAGGTAATTGGCTATTTAGTATATCTACAACTGTGATTTTTGATTTTTCTTTAGCTAATTCAGGAACTTTTCCTTTGTGTGTTGCAAGATGTTTTCTAAGACTTGATGTTGAACCATTTTCACATTTTATTAGTTTTTTAGGATTACAAAGATTGCACTTAGTATAAGGACCTTCTTTTTCTTTTTTAAAATATTTCTATACAAATAATTTAAGTATAGAAGGTTTATTGCTAGTAGCATTAGATAGATCATCAGTTTCTAAGATATCAGATTCATTATAACAAGGGTCTTCATGAGGATCTGTATAAGAATCATATACAGAGAGATTATCTGTATTAAACTAGTCTATAGAGGGATGAGAATCATTAGAATATTCCATAATAAATGTCAAATCAAGTTCATTTATTCCTTAGAAAAATGAATGATTAGAAGTATAAAGGTATCTTTTTTTTATGAAAGATAAGCATTATTCTACTTTTTTTTGTTGCTTTTATATATTTTGTCCTTATTTTAATATATTATTATTGTTCTTGATCGTTAATTGATAACTTTAATTCAATTATTTTACTAAAATATTATTATTCTCAACTAACTTGATATATATATTTTAGTTATGTTTGTTGAATTTTATAGACATACAGTATATGTATTTAGTTAAGAGATATAATTATACTATTGTATAATATAGTTAATACAGTTTTATATTAATATTTTTCTACGTAGTATAAGGTATTAATTGGTAGTTATTTTATAACAATTTGACACTTAATAGAGATAAGTTGCTTAATTTTAAATTTGATTTAAATTGTATAATTACTAATCTAAAAGTTTATTCGATGATCTTTAGAACTTGTCATAATTAGGTTTATATTGATATTTTTTTACATAGCATATAAGGTATAGATTGGTAGTTATTTTATAACTATTTGATATTTAGTAGAGATAAGTTTTAAATGTTTGTTTAATTTTAAATTGTACAATTACTAATTGTTACAGGTTTAGCAAAAGCCGGAGTTTGGCTTTTGTATCTAGCTCTACTCACAATAGCTTTAGGTCCTGTCAACATACACACACAGTATCAAGGAGCACCTTACTCTGCTTTCAGCTTCAACACCTTTACTGCAACTCTACAAACGACTCAGTTAATAGGAAATATAAGATTAAGCGAACAGGTATTCACTTTTATTTTATTTTTCATACTAAGGAAAAGAGTGTAAGGACTTACTAATCTCTTACTCTATTTATATAGGTTTAACTTTTTTTTATTAGACTACAAATTGATTATTACATTCTTAATGCAAAATAATACACAAGCTTTAATAGACTTTTTTAATCAATGACGCACTAACTACTATAAAGTATTTCTATGATATATGTATTACAAATAAACTATGCATGCATAAAATTACTGATCTATCCAATTAATGTTTATTATCCTGATTATCATGGGCTCCATATGCTCACATGACATTGCAACTGAACTTCGAATTTTCATAATCAAGCATTTCTCAAATATAATATACTGGGGTTTGGTCATCATCGTGATACTAATTTAAAAGTTTATTCAATGATCCTTGTGACTCTTTTATAATTTAACTTTATACTTTGATATAATTAAATATATCAGCTTATAATTCAAATAGTCCTGAATTCTCTTTTACTGAAGTTTTTTTTTAGACTTCTTTTGCATGTTTATTAAAAAGCAGAAAAACTTCTATTTTTTAGTCACATAAAGATTAAATAAAACATTTCCTAATTTATTTTACTACAATTTTTTTTTGTAATATACTTGAGAGTTTTAGACTGTTTTTCATATTTGTTATAAATAAATATTTACTTATAAACTGATACATATTTATGCAATTTGTTTGAAACATTATTATAATTTTTCATTTATTCCTTATTTGGTTTACCACCTAAATTGTAGAGCAAATGCATATATAATTAGTCAAGTTTTTGGGGTATGATTATTATACAGTATATTACTTGCATTAGATATTTACTCATTTATTATCTAATATCATATTATTAGAATCAGATACTGAATCTTACATGCATTCTAATATGAATTAATTTTTATTGAACATTTAAATTCTATTGGCCAAAAATCAGGTGATACTATATAAGGGTCTATGCGGGTCTTTTGAGTACTCACTATCTGAGAACCAGAATTGGTTAGTTCTAAAAAGTGTAGAACTGAACCCAACCCAATGTGTCGGTTCTCAGTTCGGTTCTAGGTTTCAGTTTGGTTCTGTAGAACACTATCTGAATAGAAGCTACTCTCTCATTTTAGTTCAAAAAACACTTAAAATTTTGGTAGCTTCTATTCAGTAATATATGATATAAGATATGCTATTTAGTTATATACTTTTTCTAATTATAATATCTCATCTTTTTTATATTAAATAAGAATTAATATATTATTAATAATTATAATATTAAATTAAAAATGATAATTTTCTAGGTTTAGACCACTGATAATTATGTTATTTATAGTAGCATTATGTCTGAGTCTTTAGTCTTAACATCCTTTGGATATAAAGTTCAAATGTAATTTCTTTCTTGTATATATTTCTTGTAAAGAAACTCGATTGAATCTCAATAAAGTTAGAGGCATGGCCTCACCTTTTAATATTAAAAAAAAAATAATATAATTTCTATTTATAAATAAAGTATATATATATAGACAATATAGATTTTACAAAATTTTGATTATAAAACCATCTTTTAATTTTTATAAAAAAATAATTCCTTAGGGTGTGGTGACTTAGTGAAGTTGGTAAGTCGTTGCACCCTCAAGCAGCAGGACTAGAGTTCAAATCCCACTGGTAATAAAAATTCGAATTTAAAGAAAATGCATTTGGAAGACTGTATCCTATTGGATTATAGAACCTGTAATAGTGGTTATACCAGCTTGTACTAGGAGGTAATGGAATATGTAGTATGACATATGAGTTATACGAAACTCGAGTAAAGCTACTGGATAAATTCAGCGAATTTACAGGGTACAGGAGCCTGTTTGGCAAGATCTGAGTAGAAAGGTAAAGGTAGCATAGATTTTCGATGGTACTATATAAAGGATTATCAACTGAAAAACAAAAAACTGAACGGGACTGAAGTGTTTGGCAAGGCACTCTACTAACCTGGCCACCAAAGAGTAACCAGAGGAAAAAGACCCAATCACAGGGACCAAAAGCAGGTCACAGCCCTTCTGGGCCACCTGGATTGGAAGTTTGGAATGACGGGTGTATAGGAGATAGTCTGTATAGTGGGTGCTGAAGTTTGGGTGAACTTTATAGGAGCAGTAGTAGGTAACAGTAGCAGCCTCAGCTCGCAAGTACTTGTCCTCGGACTTAGCATAAGTTACCAAAAGCCTAGGTTAACTGGATTGTGGGTATGGATAGCTCTAACAATGATGCTTCGAGGATAAATTAGTCCTAAGGGTATAGGTAAGAATCTGAAACTTTGTAAAGATATAATGGTGATAGAGTAGCGATCCGGATGACTATATCCGATCTGATGCAGATATTATTTAAACAGATATATCCAAATCTGAAATTAGATCGGATCGGATTATCTGTTATCTTTTTTACAGATATCCAATTAATACATTATTGTATTTAATGTTAATGTTAAAATTTTAGAAATCATACCAGTAACATAAATAATATTTATTTTTTGAAGTAATAATTAAACTGCAATAATAAT